TACCTTAGAATTTTAAGTGCTTCAGATAAAAGTGCTAAAATATGTATGTACACAAATTAGAACATTAGACAGTTTCATAATATTATTCTTCCCAAAGATCCTTTTTAGAACGGTTGAGCCTGTGACTTAACATTTTTACTGGACTTTAACGCTGAAGGACTCAGCACTTGGTGAGTGTCCAGACATGCAGAGAAAATCTAATTAAGGAAGGAGAAAGTCATGGTGACTCAGGTTAAAGAGCAATGTGATGATCAATATGATTCCTTGTGGTAAACTGAGTGAAGCCATTGGCGGGAGAGATGCTGACTAGACTCTGTGCTTAGATTGTTAAAGGTTGTCCGTGTGTTGCAATGAGTCTTTTGGCTGCAAAAAGGTTAATTAAAGTATTCTACAAATTCTAAAACCTCTGCAAAATGAAAATTTGTTACCATATGCATAAGAATCAGAGAGACTTCATTTTTAATCTGGGGGTGGGGTGCAAAAAACCCATAAAAGACAAAAGGAAAATAAAGAAATCCTTAAGCCAAACATGAATGAAGATGCTGACAGTTTTATAAATTTTTTTGTTTCTCTGAAAATTTTGGAAATAATAAGTTTCCTACCCTATTCTAGATTTATCTGGCATAAAGGAAGGGGAAAGTATCCATGAATTAAGTACATCAATATTCATTCTGTAAAAATATATGCTGTGCCAGGAAGGTTCTGGATACTGGACACATAGCAGTGAATGAAGCAGTCTCTTTTTCTCTGGAGCTTATAATGTATGAACTTTAAAGACATTCTTAGTTTCCTTTGATATGATATCTAAAATGTCAATGTCAGCAGCAACTGAATGATCATAGCCCACAAAATCCACTAACACTTGGGGCTGAGAGGGGCCTAGAAACCTAAGAGCACTGACTCTTCCAGAAGACCTGAGTTGGATTCCCAGCACCCACACTGTGGCTCACGGCCATCTGTAGCTCCAGTTCCAGGGAATTTGACATCTTTCTCTGGCATCCTCAGACACCAGACACAGACATGACGAACAGACCTATATGTAGATTAAAAACTCATGCACATCAGACAAAATAAAATTTAAACAAACAAATAAATAGATACCTTAACACTTGGAGTTTCAGTTCATGGAAATTGCAGAATTATAATTCCCTAAAATTGTCTCTTGTGATTAGAGAAAGTAAATTCAAAGGAAATTTTTTTATCACCACAGAATGATGTAGATTGATCTTTGAGAGTGCTCAGATGGATTCTTACTGTCTTGGTCACTGTTCTGTTGCTGAGAGGAGACACTATGACCAAGGAAACTCATAAAAGAAAGCATTTAACTGGGGGATTGCTTACAGTTTCAAAGAGTTAGTCCATTATTGTCATCATGGTGAGGGCATGGTGGCACTGGAGCAGTAGTTGACAGTTACATTCTGGTCTAGAAGCAGGGAGAGAGAGAGACAGAGTGACAGACAGAGACAGACAGGGTGACAGAGAGATAGAGAGACACATACACAGAGAGAGACAGACAGAGAGACAGAGAGAAAGGGAGACAGAGAGAGAGAGAGACAGATAAAGACAAGCGAGTGAGTGTGCACCCCTGGGACTGGCATTGGTTTTTGAAACCTAAAAGTCCACTCCCAGTGACACACTGCCCCCAACAAGGCCATACCTCTCCCAACAAGGCTACACCTCCTGATGCTTCTATACCTTTGAAATAGTTCTACTCCCTGATGACTAAGTATTCAAATATAGAAACTTATGGTGACCATTCTTATTCATACCACCAGGCTGACTTCAGTTGCATCTCAGGAATAAGTGTTAGTTCAAGTAAAGGCTCCATTGTTTTCCGTGTGCTAAGGACTAGTCATATTTCGTGGTCCCAGGGCCTTTTTGAAGTGCATGGCCTTTAGAAGTATGAGATTCCATATGCCAGAATTCTGTTCCTGGTACATACGGTTTAATGCTTCTCAAGGGAAGTGGAAAGCTTTGACGGAAGAAGGTGGTGTGTGTGTTTTATGGGTGAGAGGAAAATGTCTGTAAATGAGGGGAAAATTCCAAGGCGTTCCTGGAATCAGTTACTGCCTCCTGTGGGAGCCACTGATGAGCTCAACTGGGCTGAGAAGTCTGTGCAGATGTCAGTTCTGACTGCATCGTGGCCTCAATCCCTGCCAAAGCCTCGCTTAGTTCTCAAGCACAAAGTGCGGATCACAGACTGTGAAGCCAGCTGAACCACACATGCAGGCGTTTGTTGATGCTTGCACCTGGGTACCCAGAGCACAAACAGGCTTAGGGAAGTCAAGGTGATGCACTCAGGAGAGAAAATCACTGGGCCTGCCTTCCCGGCTGAGATACAGGGAAAGGAGGATGTCTTCCAGGAGGAAGACTGCACAAGATGTCCGTATCTCATTGCCATCACCAGAAATGGAGTGTCAGTGGGCTCAGGGAGAAATGCCACCTGGCAGTTGGATTGTGATGAGGACTCTGGCTTCTGGGTTTCCCTTCTGGGGCAGTTTTTTTGAACAAACATAAGTTCATTAGATATTGTGATTTCTTAATTTTTCTTATTTATTTTAAAGACATTAACATTCATTATTCAAACTCAGACACAGGATTCTCTGGGTCACATGAGCTCTCCATTTTGGTTCCTCTGAAGATTTCTGGTAGCAATCACACTTATAATAAGAAACCATTTTGACCTATAAGATTAGTAAACCAAATGTTGATAACATAGAGGAGACAGAGGAAAGGAATAGCAACTGTCATTGTTGCTGTAGGAAAGGTAAATTGGTTTCTGCTTTGTAGTATAAAATTTGAATTTTCATAAAAAATACTAATTAGAATTGTATATATTTTGATCTTGTCTTTTTTTAAAGGAATTTGTTATTCATGTTTTTAAAAATAAGGGTAAAATATACAAGGATAGCGTATCACTGTAGTAGCAGAAAATTGTGAATAAGCTAGATGACTCGTAGTTAAAGACTAGTATGAAATTAAGTATATTATACAAGGGGTTGCAGTGCACTGTGTATCATATACCAACATTTCTGTATGTGGTTTTCTGCACTGTGCAGATGTGTATGTATACACATGTCAATTTATATGACATAAACACATACACATAATTTATGTGTAAATATGGAGGTCCTAAAGACCAGAGAGTATATCTGAAAAGTGGTCAGTGTTGGCTTCAGAGGGTGGGAGCTAGGTGGTAGGAGGAGCATGGCAGGATGGTTTGTTTTTCACTAACTATCTTTTGTACTTTTTACATTTAGTATCTCCTTTAAAACATTTTAGTGAACAAGGGAACCAAATAAAATATTCCATCAGGCCTAGTAAAAGTAGAAAATAAAGCAATCAAGAGGACCAGAATATGTAGTTAAGTCTTTGATGTTGATAGTAACAGAATTGACTGAATAATTATCTCCTAATGAGTATTCAGAGACAGGTAATTCCTGGGGGGCACTCACCAACCTAAGACAGAGCACCTGTGTGGCCTGGGCAGGTGTCTCCATGACGGGTAAGGTGACCTGCTGACGTCCCATGCAACCCAAGTCAGAAGCTCATTTTTTAATAAAAGGGGGACCTGTAGGGCCCTGGCCC